TGTGAAAGGTACTATAGAAATAAAGCTTGCTTACTTACCTACTTACTTTACTTCCATATGCTACTTTATTACTTTACAGGTATTTATCACTTTGCACTTTTAAGCTTTTCTGCATAAATATGGCATATGTTAAGGCTTTTTTTTTTTTTTTTTTTCTTGTAGTATGTATTTTTGAGTTCTACACAATGAATAAAAGTGCTTTTCATCCTTCTGGTATTTTACTTGTGTGAATTTAAATGGTTGCAATGGGGTATTATTTATTTCACCTTCTCATCTAAAGGATAACTGTTTTGCATCAGTCTCGTCATTCCTCCTGCTTTTAAGCTCTAAGCTGTCTGTGGCTCATGTATTTATGGCTTGACCGTAAGGGTTTTGCTTTTATTCTTTAGGTCACTCCTCGTGCAGCATCCCGTTTCAAAATGAGCCTACTGACTGATTCTTCTACCCACTACAAACCATTATGAAAGAGTTATGAGAGAAGAACAGACTTTACTACCAGGGCAGAGAAACTCATTCGTCTGCCTTCAAATTATCTTCCATCACTTTGTCTCAGGCACATTCTTTCCACACTTTTTGTGCCATTCACCCATGGCGTCTCTAAGTGGTCTGTCCACCTCTGTATTTTGAAAAAGAGCTTGCACATTTCACCACAAATGTTGTTTGTCTCTAAAGAAAGATTCCAACAAGCATGTGTGAATAATCATGAGGGTCTTCTTCGCTGCAGGGCATGGGCATAGATGAAGGGTCTCTAATTTGAGATGCAGTTGTGGCTTGCCTTAATGCATGCCTTGTATAACAATACTGTACTGTGTTATGGCTATTAAGACACTACAGACAAGTTATTATCATATGCCCTTACTGCAGAATGCCAAACATCTTACGTTTGATCAATTATTCTGATTATGCATCACATCGAGGTACAGACAGGAAATGAAATAGTGGTTGCATAATTAGTACTTTTATAGTTACATTTAATTGACTGTAACCTTTTGACTACTAAAGATGGGCATACGATTTTTGCTGTCGTACGAGCTTCACCCCTTATCGGAAGAAATCATTGATGCTTGTATAGTCACGGCTCACGATGTGTGAGAGGAATTACAAGCCAAGCCGAGTATATTACAACCACCTCACATGACCTCTCTATTTTTAGACACGAGATTTTTACCAGCATATTGGCTGTCCCCTATTGCCAAATCACAACCACATCACATAGGCTAGATGTATAAATATTATTATAGCTGCAACCCTACAGCATGATACACTGACACACACACACATGCACACACAAATGCATAGTTGTTTTTATTGAAAAGAATAGCTATGCTTTTCTCTGCTTTTCAGAAAATCTTTTGCTCACTCGTCTTTTTATTTTCTGAAGCTACAGCAGCTACATTGAAACCTCCAGTCTCTGACACAATTATCTGGTCATCTGACTCGTAACTTGTACGATTGCTCACAAACTCCTGAGTGTCCGGACTCCTTCCTTAAGATTATTTATTATTTGTTGAGTAGCAAAAATGTAAATAAGATTCAATTCATGAAATTATACGTAACTATTATCATTTCAAATTAAAATTGGATTTAAATAACAAGGTCATTTTGATCAAACTCTTCTGTGAGCTCATTTAAATTTTTACAATTTTATTTTATTTTAATCTGCGAATGATAATGGCCGTAGTTTCAAAGCACACTTTCCACACTAGCTCTAATAACTTGTGATTGAAGAGGTTTGTCTTTTATCGGAGTTGGTTTATGTGCCCTATTATCCACTCTGTTGCACATCCATGTGGTAGTCATACGGCTTGCAGACATGATGTGTCCTTGGAATGTTCTCCTTGGCGAAGTCCATGCTCTCCCAAACACCACCACTTGAAGTACTTTAGGCCCGAGCCTATGGAAAATATTTGACTGATGAGCATCGCTCACAGCCTGCGCAGAAAAGCATTCAGACTGTATGCATTGTGTGACCCCCAAATCAATCTTCCCTGTCATAAACACAGCTTTGATCACAAGCCTTGTTTTGAAACACAGACACCACGGTGCCCTCAGGATATGGCGATAGTTTACGAGTGCACAAGTTCAAGTAAGAACGATTTCTGGCATCTGGTTTATTTTTTTTTATTATTATTTTTTTTTTTGCATGTGTTGTCATTTCTTTGTCATCTGAAACGGAGGGAAAATGCTTCAGTCATTCGGCTCTAGAGAACTTGAGTACGAATCGTTGCACCGGACTATATCCTTTCTCTAGTTCCCTTTGTTCGCTCTTATCCTCCTTACTGTTTTACTTTCTTTTCTCCAATTAACTCTCTATAGATTATAATCTAAATAAGTGGAATATCCTTGGCTTGTTAGGATGACAGCATCTCAACATCTGGACTGAAGTCATCTGAGCTTTGATGCGAGTGTGATGTCATATCCTCAGTATTTATGGATCTTTTTGTTAGTCTAAAGCAGGCCTTAACCTGAAAATCACTTTTTCTGTTTTCAGACTTTCAGCCAGCAGGCTCGGTTTGTTGATATATCATTGTAAGAACAAGAAGTGAGCCAAATTCTCTCAGAATATCAGTGAAAGTTTCCATTGGATATGTTGCTAATATTATTGGCTAGTGGTTCAGAAACAATCAAAGTGTTTTGAAAGATGGATTTTGGTCTGTGTCACCAGATAGGGGTCTCCATATCTTGTTTCCAACGTAAATCACCAATACAGCTTGACTAATTTCCATGAATAATGTGACTACCACTGTGGAATTAACTGGAGTGCAGCATTGAATCTAGATGTCCATTTAGAACCGTTATATTTGAGCTAAAAGAGAATGAGAACATGTAAATTGCTGAAATTTCTAAAATCAGAAAGGTGAAAGTTTGGAGCATGTTCACTTCGCAGTGTGTTTACGGAGTAAGAGAAGAGGGAGATGTGTATTCCTGTTGGAGCAATGACATGTTCCTGGAAAAAGGCTTGCAGTCTTGGTGCAGTGCTCGTTACACAGTGTGTAAATCTGCTGTGGTCAGTGGCCTGTGCATCTTCAGTCATCAGAATCCTCGCTTAACCTGTTGACTCACTCTTCTCCTTGTTAACAGTTTTGAAAGAAGTTTTCTTGATGTCAGTGTCATCATGTATAATGCTCATTTAACCTATTTTTTACATCTAACACTTGCTTAAGTAATCTTTAAAAAATAGTTGAATAATAATGCATTATTTTGCAGTTCTCAAAAGGAATATACGTTCAATAGTGTTAGTATTTTATTCTTTTGAAAGAAATCAATATGTCCTTGCTGAATATAAGTATTAAATTGATCAAAAATGACAGTGAAGACGTTTATATTTTTATACAAGATTTCCGTTTCAAATGCAGTTCTTTTGAACTTTCTGTTCATCAAAGAATCCTGAAAAAATGGATCATGGTTTCCAAAATTACGTGTTTTTTTTTTTAATTATTATTATTTATTGATAACAAGAAATGTTTCATGCGCATCAGTTCAGCCTATTGTGTCACTGAAGACTGGAGTAACTGCTTAAAATGTATTAAAATAGTAAACAGTTTGTTGTAAATTGTTACAATATTTCACATTATTGTTGTTTTTACTGTATTTTTCATTAAATAAATGCAGCCTTGGTGAGTAGTTTCTGAACAACATTGAAAAATCTTACAGATCTCAAACTTTGAACAGTAGTATAAATTAGTATTTTCTATTTATTGTTTATCAGCCATAACACGTATAGTATGCTGTACAGTCCGAGTATTCTGCATGTAAATTAATACTATCTCCCAATAATCTTGATAAAAGTGACAATCATCAATAGTAAAGTACCCCTATAATGCTTTTTCAAATATTAGCCTACCTTTTTATGCAGTGTAATATAGCTGTTTGTGAAGGTGAAAGGTCTGTTTTAAAGATCAAAGTGCACAACAAATAAAGTTTTTGTCTCCTAAAAATAAAGAATCAATTCTGACCTGCTCAAACGAGTCGTCACTAGTTCTATTCTCACTTCCTGTCCTGTTATATACAGTACCTGCGTAATAATGTAACACATTTGCATAATGCCAGCCTATGGTTTTCATTGGCTGTGTGTGAACAACAGCTACTGTGACCTGCCCGAGAAAATTTGTTTTTTGACCTTTAAATGCATGTAAACCTACTGTAGGGGACTCTTTTACCCAAAATTGGTTAAAACAAATCTGCTTTATATTATTTTATATATAACAATTTAACCTATCCATGTTAAGTGGGTGTTTAAATTTAATTATAGACCTTCTCTTTCAACTTTGTCTTGTAAATGAAGATTTACAGACACTCCAAAACACTCCAGTCTGTGTTGATGGATCAGTTGTCACACAGGCAGCTGGCTTTCCTGCCAGGTGTTTTTCAGACCTGCTCATTGAGAGCTGTGCTCTCTTAGTCACTTACTCTCATTTGATTAAATTCAGCGAGATTTATTTGTCTCATTTTGTACAATACTACACACTAAAACACAAGCCTGCAACCTGGAGGCATGAGATATTCACACACACACATAAACATGAGCAAGCACACAGTATACTCTGTAAATTAAGACCTTCAGTGCCCGCAGGAAATGAGCATGTTAAAGAGGGAACACAATGGCGGGCACTATGGGGTATGACTGCTCCGTTTAAGACCAGCTGACTTGTTATGACCCTCTAAACATTTAATGAAAGGACAAAACAGGTCTGTTTCTTTGTAAGGTGAACTGATTTCTCGAGTGACTGTTCTCACACACAGGCTTACCTCACACAGTTGCTAAGACTTCAACAGAGCTAATGATTAATATTGGAAAAATGCACCTTTTGTTTACAGGCTCGGTTCTCATCTATACCTGCTGCGTTATCTAAAACAGATGTTTCTGGGATCCATTATGCAATTTAGGGTTAGACCTAGTCACCCTGTGACTTCCCCACAGCAAAAATGCTGAAGATTTGTTGAAAATGTGCTTAAATGGACCTAACTTTTTCCATTTACTTTTAATTATTTGTCAGAAGCAGTAGACCTTCTTGATCATCTATGGCAGGTGGCTAATCGCAGCAATGCATCAGTGACCCATGAAAATCGTTGTCCAGTCCTGCATGTAGGCCAGTACTCCACCCTCTCTGTACCGCTACACCAGGTGTTTGGACACAGGTACGTACACTAGTCACTGACATTAAAAAAAAAGGTTATTTTTATTTAGTTTTTCAGTTTAGACACTTTGCTATAGGGCCTTTGCTTGAATATCTACTTGTGTTTTTCTTTTTTTAACTTTATATGTGATATTCTTTCTTAAAACTACTGTAGTGTAATCATGTAAAATCAGGTTTTCTCTTTTATCTATTTCTCAGGTTTGGTGATGAGTTCAGTTTGCTGTTGCGTCTGCGAAGCTCCCAGTCTGAAGACCGCAGTGTGCTGACCTTCCTCTGTCCAGACGGACACATTCTCCTGCAGATCCGCATCAGTGCCTACACCTTCACCTTCATCAGCACCCAACAACGACACTACGAGTGAGTCTTCACATCAGTGGCGGACAGGGAGTGTTTAGGAAAGCTGATTTAAAAATGCCACACTTTAATTTGATCTCTTGCATTTGACATGTAGGAGTATCAAGGAATCCCTAAGAAATATCAGAGAGTCCCTGATCTCTGTTCTTATTTATTTATTTATTTATTAAGGAGTTAAAGCATCTGATCTGAACAATTAATCACAGGGAAAAAAAAATCATGACAAGAACACTTGGAAAGGAGACAAGACTATCTAATTGCCCATGTTGAATCATTCTTAAATGAGGATTAACTGGGAACTATCTGAAAACTCAATTACTTGGTGGTCTTGATTATTTTGTGGTTCATACTTTGGTCCCAAAGCCGTCATCTTGGCATGAAAAAGATAATTAAAAAGGCACATCTCAGTGAATCCTCTCATGTAACCACAGTCTGTTTATTCTATTTCTCTTCTCTTATTTTCTGTTGCTTGCTTTTTAATGTCATTGACCTTCTTTGTTCCTCTTCCATGATGACAAAACCATTCTCATCATCTCCTCATTCTTCATGTCAGTAGAGTATTAGTTTTGGCTAATGGTTAATCTTAAACACAAGCACAGACCCCACCGTTTTGTGATATATTAAATATAGATTTCTGTGACTTAAGCCAAGCCTTACAGTCGAGACGTATAAATGAGGCATGAGATTTAACTTGTGGCCTCTCAAAACTAATATTTGGACCTGTCGCCTAATTACCCACCTGCAGGACAAAATAAATGGAATGCATTTTACCTGTGTGTGCTTCTCATTCATCATAAGGTGACATAACAATACCATAATGTTCTTACTGTGTTCTCATATGGTTTTCTGTTTATTTTAAGCTTGCATAGGCAAAAAAAAAAAGTCATCTATCATTACACAGACAGGAAGTGTTGTGTATCTGAATGTTTTGCCAGGAAATTTAATGGCTTCTACTTTTCTTGGGTTCTCCCAACTCTCCCTGTTCTCCGGTACTGTAACATGCGATTTGTTTAGCCCACCTTGTCAAGAAACGAAATAAATTAGTATGTTTTTCAAAACCTGTCCTGTTGTTCCCAGATTCCCCGTGGCAGTGCTGTCCGATGGAGGCTGGCACCATGTGGCCATCAGCGTGTCCTCTGGCCGTTTGGCTTTGTATGTGGATTGCTCCATGGTTGAGAGCGTGGACTGGGCCTATAAGGACGGTCTGGGAATATCCACTAATGGCCTGGTAATGGTGGGAGGAATCGTTGAAGGGTTTGAGACCCCTTTTGAGGTCAGTTTTCAAACATAATTTTGTTTTGTGTGGTCAAAACATGCAAGGATGTAGTACCTACTTTGTGTAGGATGAGAATTTCCTTCATCTCACCAGCTCTCAGCACATGACACGTACTGTAAATACATCTCCAGAACGTTCCCAGTCGGCATTTAAACCCAAAGTCAGGTTTATGGAGGATGAGGGTTTCTCGTATAGGAGTTACTATACCCCAAGCCGAACATCTGCGTTTATACTCATCCAAGATTCCAGATGGATTGGCCATTTTGTTTTGTATTTTTTTTTTTTATGTGCAACAATTTACCAGCACGAGTTCTTACATAAATAATATCTGATGAAAAATTTGAACAAGTATGATTTGTTGGTTTTCAAAAATAGCATGGAATTACTTTTATTTTGCTGGCACTGCCATGTAGCTCTTGTTTAATGAATGCTTTTATTAAATAAAAATATTATAAACTTTTGCCTATAGTGCAGGTATCCTAGTCTTAAATCTGAAGTTCCTAATTCCATTCATGCATTGTTCATACTGAGTGCCATATTTATTTGCTGTCGAATATTGTGTGCAGAGCAAAGGAGTCGCTTCGAGTACCCTAAGTGTGATTGTGTTGACATTAACATTTTGGTGTCTGCCATCTTAGATACCAGTCTAATTGAGCAAAGCAAAGTTAGACACAGGAGATGTAAAATGTATTTAACTGGAGTGTCTACATGACCATAGATTGTATATTATTACATTGCAGAACAAGAGACCCATGTCAGTTTCAGGGAGGAAAAAAAGGCATTTTAGCAGATTCTTTTGGCCTTTTGAAATGGATTTACTGTATGTTACGGTATGTTGTGTTCTGAAGAACATGCATTTTATTGGGGCTAGGACTCAGGAGTATAGTTTAGACAGCTGTGCACAAGTTAAATGCCCTTTTTTAGTTGTGTTAGACAGGAAAAGTTAATACAGCATGAAGTCTAGGCTGAGTCTCAGAGAATTACATCATAGAGTCCAAACATCCATTTACATACTTGCACACTGAACTCAGTCATTTGGTAATATGGTGAGAGTTAGCATTTTAGCACATTTCTTGACTTCTATGGCAACAGTTTGTGATCATCATATTATTTGAAGTTAACTGATTGCTAGAATGTCATCTTAACTCATATCTGTTGTATTCATATTTGACATGAACTCTTGCTGAATATTTGAGAAATAATTTGCTCTGTTTTATGTAATGGTTGGTAATAAAAACTGTTTATATGTTGCATTGCATTCTTATGTGTTTGTGTGTCTAAGCATGCATGCATTAAATGTATGTCATCTGGTGACCACCATATGGGTTGTATGTGTGAATCTGTATATGTGTAATATTTCAATTTGTCTTGTTTTTCAGGGTGATCTGATGCAGGTGGCATTTCTGATGGGAGAGCCAGATGCAGCTCGAGATCAGTGTGACGTTTTTCAGTCCCCGTGTGGTGATATCAGACACAAACCACCTCGCTCTCCTCGCATAGACACTGAAGAGGTGAGCAAGCCATACTGTACAGGCAATGTTATATACTGTAACCCGCCTTCCAAATCAGGCTAGTGTCTACCTAGTGACAGATACATTTGTGCCAAAATATCACAGTATTTGTAATTGTTGACACTGCAATTCATTTCCATTTTTTATTCTTTTATTCATTTTCTGTCTTCCTGTCTATATTACATATTTTTTCTTTCTCTATCCAGGAACTTTTGCTGTCCTCAAATGACCTGGAAGACTTATTAGTGTCAGCAAAGGACAATGACTCTATTCGTGCAAAACTGACTGTAAGTGTTGCTATTATTTTTCATCTTTACAGTTTATGTAGTAAATTAGTTATCCCCAAATCAGTTAAAATTCTATCATTTACTCACTCTTATGTCATTCCAAACTCAAATGACCTTCTGTGAAACACAAAAGATGATGTATTGCACAATAACTAGAGTGATCTTTTCTATACCACAAACAAAAAAAAGAGTACTGTCACACTTCACACATGATGAAGAAGCATCATAAATGTTTTATGCTTTTTTTACAAGTCTTTTGAAGCCATAAAATTTTTAATCTTATACAGCTTCAAAACAGAATGTCGGAATAGGAATATAGCAGACAAGTCATATAAACCACTTTTATGATACATTTATGTTGTTTTTGTTCATTTTGAGACAAAAATTAGCCTCAGTTTCCATTATGAACGAGAGCATTTTGAGAAATCTGCAGTATGCCGTCTTGTGTGTTGAAGGAAGAAAGAAAAACGGCTTTGGAGCAATATAAGTGAATTTTGATGGCAGGATTTTGGGTGAAGGAACCTGTATCTGTCTAAACCAGCCTTTAAATTATCTAGCAAAAGATCAAACAGTCTAAAAAATACTATTTAGTATGTTGATATTGGTATTCCCTTGCAGTTTTATAAATTATTTGGATAAGGAACTGCTCAGTCCTAACTGCATTGGCCACATCATGACTTGCTTTCTTGTAATTTAAACCGTATGCACATCTCAGCAAGAGTTGATTTCCATAGTTACCTCCATAGGGTTGTTTTTTACTTACAAGAAGTGCTGAAGTGCATTTAGTTTTGTGAATCATATTTTGATTGCATATTTGATGTGGATATAACTGCTTGAAATTGTAGCCTAGAGCATTACAGTACATGTAAACCGTCAGTTTATATTTTCTATTAATAATCGTATACCTTTTAAGAAGCTGTATTTACATACCATTCCTGTCAGACTGATAGTCAATATTTTATTATCCTGTCAGTGGTTTTTATGTGTACAAAACCAAAAAAGCATTCCTGATGAAAACATATGACAGTTTTCTAACATACTGTGAACCTGTAGTCACAAACCCAAACAAGCTTTCCAAATCTCCTCTGTCTTCTCTTAAACCAAAGAAAGCTGGCGTGGGGTGTAGTTGAGCTACATCAGCCAAGTTATGGAGATATTTTTGGTCCAAAAATTCATATCATATCATATCATATATCATATATCATATCTTCATACAAGTCTGTGTGTTTTTGGCTGCTGTGAGCTGTTTGGCCCATGGGTTCATGGTCATTGTGGGCTTTGAATTAAGTTTAGAAATTGCAGATATAAATATTGATGTACTCCATATTCCTTCTGATTCAAAACCAAATGTTTCTTTCAGTGAGACCTTAGCATAGCACGTTTAAAACATATATAGTGCGTCAATCAATCACCTGGGATCCATTATGTTATGTCAGAAAGGTGGAGGATTTCAAAGACTAAAGAACACCAGATTTTTTTTTTTTTAAATAACCTGTTTTATTTCTCAAGTTCTCTCTTGTGGTGTAACCTCTTGACTATGAACTTTTGTTGTGGTGTTTCGCTTTGATGCCTCTGCCGTTTTTGGTTTGCCAGTTTCCTGGATGGATTAATGGGAAACATATGGATTTCCTTTGATCTCTTTAACCCAACAAGAGGTCAGGGGTTAAAGGTAATCACTAAATTAGCTTGTCACTCATTTCCAATGTCACAGCTTTGAGGCCCAAGTCATGAATGTTTAGTTGGATAAGGGTATGTACAGTATGCATATTTTTGGGTCAGATGACCAATTAAGAGACTTGATATATTTTATGTATGTGTGTGGTGTATATATATATATATATATATATATATATTTGTGTGTGTGTGTGTGTGTGTGTGTGTATATATATATACAGTATATATATATGTATGTGTGTGTGTGTACTGTGTGTATAATGTATGTATATGTGAATACCTTGTCCACTGACCATTACTGCTATATGATAGGACCTTAAGAATTTTTGCAAATTTCAACCCAGTTCTAAATAAGTACTATGGCTCAAGGTCTGGAGCAGAGGCGCTGTAGTGAAATGAGGTTTTATGTGTAAATGTTGTAGTACATGTTTGCTTGACCTATTGGGCGACGTTATTGCCAGGGTTTATATTGCATATCTGTTTGTTTGTTTGTGTCTGTCTGATTCTGTTTATTTGTTTTGGGTTGTTCTGTTCAGTCTACAAGGGCAGTGTGTATGTTTAAAAGTGGTGTTAGCTTGTTTAGAAATAGCCTTGTTCTTTCTGTGGGTTTCGTTTGGCAGGGGTTGGCACAAGCCTGTAATTGATTTGCTCAGCACTAAAATTAGTTTTGAGTTGGACGGAGTACTCCTCTCGGGAAGTGTCAGAATTACTCAGACAGGCTGTAAAGGATTCAACAGCTCCAGACGTGCCTTTGAACTCGCTCTGTCTGTGAGTGTAAAGTAATAAATGTATGATCTGTGTTTAAAGGTAATTTATTTGTTCATGGATAAAAGTGTGAATGCTGGAAATGCATTAGACAGAGCAGTGCCAGCTATCCCTAAACTAAACACTATGGAAGTATTGTGGATACAAGATCTTCGTTTATAAAGAACCTGAGCTGCTAATTTCCTCATCTTTTTTCCTGAGATCAGGGACTAAGGTTAAATGTTAGGTTGCTTTTTAAATGCTTTTTGTCCATTCTGTCATCTGTCATTCTATGCCCAAACGGTTAATATTAATGGCTCTTGAGAAGACCTGGATTTTAACAAAATGCTAATTTGTGATATCAGTTGAGTTGTTTAGACAATTTACATTTTAATTTTTATTTCTCAATGTAGTGATATACAGTAATACTCCTCAAAGGTTTGGGGTAAGAAAGATTTAAGAAATAAGAAATAAATACTTTTAATTCAGTAAAAGTGCATTAAATATAGTCAAAAGTGACATTTATAATGTTACAAAAATATTAGTAGCACTTTACAGTCCTGTTCCCCATGTATATACTATATACTTATAGTAATTGTAATAACTTGGTAATATGTACTAAACCTGAATCTACCCCTAAACCTAACCTTAACCCATGTAGTTAGCTTTTATTAACCAGTACTTTCTTAGTTCGCTGTCCACTTACTGTTAAGTCTATTTCTAAAAATCTATTTCAGATAAATGCAGTTCTTTTTAACATTCTTTTCTTCAAAGATTCTGGAAAAAAAGTGTTTAATGGTCACCACAAAAATATGAAAGAAGAATGTGAAATTGTGAAATTGAAGACGGAAGTCATTTAAACTTTGTCATCACAAGAATAAATTACATTTAAAAATATATTAAAAATAGAAAAAAATTATCTGAATTTTTAGAATAGTAGTATATAGTAGCATAGTATCACAATATATGTTTAATGTATTTTTGACAAAATTAAGGCAGCCTTGGTGTAAGAAACTTCTTGCATTTAAAAAACATTTATAAATGTTACTGACCCCAGAATTTTTAACTATGTTATAGGTTCATATTTTTCTGTCCTTCCAAGCCTCTTTCCCCACTTTTAGCAAAACTCTACAAAGATGTTTACTCACACATACTGGCTGAGGTAAGATGAGCTCATAGATCAGTTGCCATGTAACCTTGGATAAAAAATAAAAAAAATCTATTTAAGAGTTATTATCCTATAAACATCTATCTTTATGTAGTTTGCGCATGGCATTTCCATGCCTCAAGCTTAAAAAATCCCTCTCAGAAGATTACATTAGATGCTACATCAAGAATGCCCTGACACATTGAACTGAGAAGTGTCTCTTTTAGACATGTCTGATTAGATAAGGTAAGATCATTGGAGTGTATATAGGATTTCACTGGGATGAAAAGTAATTTGCTTCAGTTATGACTGTATCAGGCTTTATTAATGCTTACATGAGACAAAGTTGGTTTTAGTAAATAGAATTCTATTAAAACTTTTTCATCCAAGAGGTGTAAATTAATTTATTGTTAATACAAATTTAAATTCTAAAAAGTTTTACAAGCAGAGCCATGGGTTTTGGTCAGGACAGCTGCTGAGAGTGCCATCCATAAAACAGACTATTTGATCTATTCAGATTGATCTGTTTACAGCTGTTAATTGTTTAGTACAACAAATATGAATGTGTTTTTAATTCATTTAATATCTATTTATTCATGTGCGAAAACTTCTTTCCCATTTGGATGTCACAATGACAATAAACAAGAGTAACAGCACCATGCAATTATGCGACAGTCTGTCCTTTTAGAGCTCAGATGTGCAAAGTGTTGCATAAACTCAGCCATTTTTTTCCCCCTTTTTGGTGTGTATGATGGTTTTACTGAAAACTCCATAATTATATGTCATTGTGCAGGCGTCTATGTCACGCCTGCCCTCCTCCTCACTGTGTCTCGATCCTCGGGCATTCACAGACCTCAGCTCCACAGGCTGTAATTATCAGTTCTGAGACAGTAATTTAGTACCGTCCATACCCAAACCCACAATAAATCACATGCAGTTAATACAAAGTGGTTTTATTATACAGAAATATTACTCTTTCTCATTCTTTCTTTCTAGATGGATGGATAGATGGATGGATGGGTGAATAGATCATATATCATATATGCTGGATTGACAGATATATAGGTGTCAGCATGGGTTGCAACAAGGATGAGTTGAGGCAGGATCTACAGTAAGTGCAGCAGTATCTTTTAATAACAATAAAAAACACACAGGAGCAAGAGAAAAACGAAGTAGATGAAGCAGAACACAATATTACCAATGAGAATGTACAAAGAAAAATTGAAACGGATTGTGCGATTTTGGCAATCCTATAACATAATTACAAATCACACTGCACAACATGGATCTAATCAACTTGGGTGCGACTTGTAAGTAGACTGTTTGATGATGACAACTACTGAATCATAGGCTATGACGCAAGTTAGTGTAGAATAATAAAACATCATCAACATGTGCTGGTGGTATACAAATGCTGTTGTAATCAAAATTATTT